CTGGATCCAGGGTTGGTGACTTGTTCAGAGTGAGAGGCACCCTGAACCAAAACGGCTACCACCGCGTCCTGCAGCGCCATGCAATACCCTCTGGTATGCGTCTAGTTGGTCAGGGGTTCATCTTACAGCAAGATAATGACCCAAAACATAAGTCCAAGCTATGCCAGAACTATCTTGCGAAAAAAAAAAACAAGCTGGTAAATTTGAACACACGGAGTGGCCAGCACAGTCTCCAGACTTAAACTCCATTGAGCTGGTTTGGGATGAAACGGACAGAAGAGTGAAAGCAAAAGCAACCCACAAGTGCCACACATTTATGGGAACTTCTGCAACAGACATGGGAAGAACTTTCTGAAGAACATTTGATCTCTATTGTAGAAAGAATGCCTCGTGGCTACTTTGATGAGTCAACCCTTTAGAATACATTTTGGTCTATAAATTGATTCCATAATTTCTTTTTTTGACTCCAATTGCTTATTTGTACTATGCTTTCACGTCTGAGTGCAGTGAGACATTAAACGGCATAATTTTCAGTAAAAACACTGGAAGAATTGGGGCGTTCTAAAACTTTTGACTGGTAGTGTACCTATTTTGTTTTGGTTACCTTTCTCTGTACGTCGTCTAAATGATAACTTCCGTCTTCTTAATTTGTTAAATCCGCCTCCGTTTGAGTCGTCGCTGCTTGGAGAGCCCGGAATCATGTTGTTCTAAAAATAATAAAAAAATTGAAAAAAAAAAAAAGAAAATAAAAAAAGAACAAGACATTATGTACATTTAACTTTTTTTTTCTTAGCGTTTACTCTAATATTATTATCAAATTTAACCAGTTAACTTACATCTCGGAGGTTGAAGGTGATTTCCAGGTTGTTCCAGAAGTTGTCGGCGAACTCAGGATACATGTCTAACACCTCCAGGACATCTTCTCTTTGGATTTTATGAAGGTCACAGTAGGTAAGAGCTCTGACATCAGCATTGGATTTACCCGGGCGGGAGTACAGGTTAATAGGCTCCCCGAAAATATCGTTCTTCCCTGAAAAAAAGAAAGAAAAGAAAAGAAAAAAAAGTAAAATGTCGTGGGAAAATATTGGTGCAGTTTGAGCAATGCTGACTATCCACCAGTAGATGGCGATACCAAGCTACAAAAAATGCCTTAAAGTCATTACAGCTTGGAAGGATGGTTTCTTTACACATAGTTACATAAAAAAATAAATGTTTTAAAACAGATTTGTGACACTGGATCATGGCCCTGCAGATATTAAAGTTTCTGTTTTTCCCCATAAGTTTGTAAATGTCAGTGGACCCATCCAAGATAAATGGCATAACGTGGCATCGGGTTTTCAGAGGTTGCTGTTCAAAGAAATATAAGGTGGAGAGAAATTGCTAAATTCAAGAGCATTTTATTTACCTAAGATGGCGACCACCACATCCCCTCTCAGGATCTCTATGGATCCCCTGGAAATAAAGTAAATGGCGGTGAGGACATCGCCAGCGTGGACCAAAGTGTCACCCGGAGGAGCATGGGTAGTCTTGAACTTCATGGCCAAGGCCCTGAGGCAGCCTTTGGTGGAGCCCTTAAAAGCCTTACAGTTCTGCAGCAAAGTCCGGTTCAGATGGAGGCAGATGTCTGCCTGAAGACACTCTGGGAAGCCTTTCAGCACCTGTGGAGAGGGACGAAGGAATAAGGTGGGGGAGGGAGCAGGTGAGGGAGGGTGAGAACGATAGGGGTGGGTAGACGGAGGGGGAAAGGAAATGTGAGGACATAAGACGGGAGAAAAACAGGTGTAAGGAGGAAAAAGGAGACATGTGGAAAACAAGACAGGAGAACAGGTGAGAGGAATCAAGTGTTCAAACTGAAGGTTGTATCAAAGTGTAAAACCGAAAAGTAAATGTTTATTTAAAATAAAGTCATTATAAGTCAAATCCTGTCAAAAAACAAACAAACAAAAGTTATTTGAAAGAAAATTTAATATCAATCATTTCCCCTGTATTTGGTTCCAGTACTCCAGTACAACATAGAGAATAGTAACTTACTTAGTAAATAAATATTCATGACGTAACGTACTTGTCATGGTAAGACGTCCCCCCTATATGTGGCCTTAAATACATGGTCGTAATTTAAAGGTGATCGCAATGCTAACCTAACTTAGCTCAACTCCAGCTGTGGTTACGATGCATTTGAACATATGCTATAGATAATACAGTTCTATAATCGTTTACTTATACCTACCTAAGGTACACTTTAACCTTGTGAATGATTTTCCAGTTAATTTACTCCCTCATAGTGAGACCTCAGCATGTTTAGTTGAACACATTGCTGTTGTACTTGCAGAAATTAAAGAAAGACACTTGAATATCTTCCAACGGCTTTAAGTCGCTTTTTTTTGTTTTTAGCCATCTACTGCCACCTTGTGGTAAAGTATCTAATTGTTCTGCAATTGTAACAGACCCATAAATTGATAAATACATAGATTTTAGGCCAGTGAAATTAAATTGGATCAATTTTCTACGGTACACTTGAATGAATTCGTGAATTCTCCCTGCGCACTAATGTGTGGAGAGCACAGTGGTTGAGAACCACTGCTATGGATTCAAACATGTTTAAAGTTGTTTATCATTATTTCACATTCTATCTGTCTAATCGTCTCTTCAGTGTCTGTACTTAAATCATATAAATTATAATAATTGTGGTTGTAATCATCCAGAGAAATCAAGGTGAATTGAATGGTTTAGACTGGGGTTCTCACTTCCATGAGCTCATTCACTAATTTGTAGAGCACAGACAGGAAAAGACTTTCAAACCCTTCCAAGAGCCCACTGGGAAACAGTCAGCGGGCCTGCGGAGTGTAATTAATATGAAGGACTACTGCAGTTTTAACGAGTTTACCGCAGCCACTGGAAGGACCCAGTTCTTCTTCCCTCTCTCTTCTCTCCTTCTTACTGTGTAGTCTCTCAATGGCTGACTGCACACAACCCCGCTCTCTCTAAAACACACAGCGTCTCAACGCTCCTCTCCTCAAGCTGTTTCTTCATTTCAGCCTCCAGGAGGGTTCCTTTTCAGATCTGCATGGACCACGCTTCATTTCTCACTTTATTTATCCCTTCCCTCCCTCCATTCTGCTCCTTACTTTGTACTTCCTGTGTATTTTTTAATGTCAAGCCTCATTGACATCTTTGCAACCCGCTTTGCTTTTTTTTATTCCATCTTCCTTTTTCTGAGCCTAGTCATACAATAAAAGTTTTAAAACTTTCAAGGTTCAGTCGAAAAAGAAATCAAACAAGAAAAAAAAAAAAACACAGACATAAAATTCCTGCTCGAACTCTCCTTTTCTGGCTTTAAAAAATAACTCAACATGTCTTCCAGTACGTGACGGCTTTTTTGTTGATTTGTGAGATGCCAGGTGAAATCCCAAATGCGTAGAAGGCAGAATTTATTACCTGGCTGCATGCAATGTTTGCCTGTCTTCAATTTAATGGAACATTTGGCTGTTGCCAAGTGGCTGACTTTCAAGGTTGCACTTCTGTTGTGTCCAAAATGTCGTTGTTGTCAAGTCAATGTTCAGTTTTCTTTTTTTTTTTTTTTTGAAGGCTGTGAGACACTTAAATGCAATCATTGCATCAGTGGTGGTGTTTTGTAATTAATTCATTGTATTAATTATTCTTTTATTCTTAATTACCAAAACCTGTCCATTTCGTGCTAGCTAGCTACATACTAGCATGACGACAAACAGTCGCAACCCACCAGGATGATGACATTGGAATCCTCCCCTGCTCTTCCTTCCAATTTTCTGAGGATCCCCTGGCGCCCCATCAGGCCGCCGTCCCTACTTTGAAAACCACTGTTCTACTTTGTGTTACTCCATTATATTATCCATTATTTTACTGTATTTTACTGAAATCTATTTGATTCTACTGTATTATTTTCTAATCTATTCTACTGTGATCTAATGTAATGTACTATTTTCTAATCTATTACATTCAAATAAATACATTATAATAGATCAGCACACAAGCAAGTGAATACATTATGGGTTCTCTCCTCTCCTGTCCTACATGTCTAGGCCATATTTACCATATTTACGTATATACCATATTTTAAAAAACACAATTGAATACGTGCTGATGATGGTCACACACACACAGAGAGACAAGACAATTACACTGAACTCCAGTGGACAAAGGAATGACAGGAGAAAACAAAAAACAAAAGGAAGGGACAATGACTGAAACTAAAAACATACCGTTTCACTAATGGAAGCTTGCATTAAGACCTTGGCACCCAAACAGAGATTCTCTGTGCTTACGTAGGGCTTCACCAGCAATAATTAATGTGGTACTGCGAGGCTGCAGCGGCGGCGGCGGCATACTGATGTTATGAGCAAATGTGCTTTTAGCAAAAAAGTACTTTGAGCGCAGCCTAAAAATAGACATAAGATTTGTGTCGTCGCAGATGACTGTGACAGAATGCCAGACGGAACCACACAGAGCTCGGCTACAACAACACCGACCGGCTCATGCACAGCAATACTTTAGTCACATAAAGTGAGCGGGCGTGACGTGTGTTTGTTTTGTCGATGCCGGCTGGGGCATTTAGGAAGTCATTCATACATGGATACAGAAGACGTCACCGGTGTTGGGGCTCCGTCTGTATGCATGTGGTTTTTGGGTATTGTATAAAGCAGGGGTCGCTAACGTGGTGCCCAGGGGCACCTGGTAGCTATGTTGCCCACGGGGTATATTGTAAAAATAAAACTAGTCAACAAGAAGGTCAAATATTGTACTGTTACTGTGTTTTTTCAGTTACACTTGCAATGATATTCACTTATTACTATCATTGTTTAGAAAGTTTGTACAAGTAGCTACTAAATGCCCTTGAAGTAGCTCTCAGGTTTGAAAAGGTTGGTGACCCCTGGTATAAAGGTCGACTGTACTCCGATCCACCGACGCGTGTAGAGCAATCCAGCAATCTCGTGCCGTATGTCGGCATGCATGGCACTAGTAACCCGTTTGCATGTCACAGTGTTTGTGTTTGGATTTGCACTACACTTACGTCAGGATTTTGTTCCTAGCGTCGACGTAACTCGGATTCTCGTAAGTCGGAACTCGCATACAATTACATATGACATATCGCAAAAGATGGAGGAAAACGGAACCTGGGCGGCAAACAGCTATTAAAACAACGCGGAGAGTGGGATGTTGAATTTGGTCCGACAAACCGTGGTTTGGATCCATAACGAAGGGCAAAAGCGTTTCATAAAATATGGTGTCATCGGCAAATGATAAGACTTTTTTAAAATGAATTTAAAAGTACGGGGTGTGGTGACGTAACGGTGAAATCGCAATAAGTCGATGTTGTTTAGATCAAGACGAGCTGTATTAGAACCTTGAACATGTGCAAATCAACACAAATAATAATAATAATAATAATAATAAAAAATTGGTACTGTGGTATCTGTGTATAGAAGCCTCCATGCACGTGAACATGCAGATGCATAAAGTACACGAGGTCAAGACTCTTCCCTAGTAAAATGCACAAAGGCGTCTGTTTATGTGTGTGTGTGTGTGTTTGTGTGTGTGTGTGTGCAATTCATTTATCATACTCACATCAGTCCTATTTTCTCTGAGGGTGTCGGACCATGCATGCTGAGACAAAGTCTTCCAATCATCCTATTAACGTACAACGCAGGCTCAAAATACTCCTCTAGCCTTCGTGTGCGTACATGTGTGTAATCAACATTCATGAACATGAACAGACGAGGTGAACACACAAGGAGGTGATGCGTGGGGAGCGGTACTCACGGCGTTCATGTCGATGCCATTAGTATAGGACCACGCGTGTTGGAAGTACTCCTCCAATCTCTGCCTGAGAGGGTTGGGGATCTGGTGGAAGCGGATGAACTCCCTGACTCTGAGCATCTGAGTGTGGTAGCGGGCTGTGCCTGAGTACAGCCGCTGGATTATGGCCGACACGTTCCCAAAGATACTGGCGTACATGAGGGCTAGGGGGCAAGAGACGAGAGAGGTGTTGATTAGTTTGGAGGGTTGTTTTTTTTTTAAGGAAAACATTTTGAAAACAGACACAGTTGTATTTTGTACATCATTGTAACACATTTACGAAGTAGGACTACTAGCTTGGGTATCCGGGCACCAACAAAAAAATTATAAAGAATTGAGACATGGAAAGCAAAAGTTGATAGACTATTTTTTCCCTAAGGTATGTGTGACAAAAAAACACAACAAAACTAGGGATGACACAACTAAACTGTTCAATTTCCCAAAGGGAACTCCCGAGGGATTAATAAAGTGCTATCTATCTATCTATCTATTTATCTATCTACCTATCTATCCATCTATCTATCCATCTATCTATCCATCTATCTACCTATCTATCTATCCATCTATCTACCTATCTATCTATCTATCTATCTATCCATCTACCCATCTACCCATCCATCCATCCATCTATCTATCTATCTACCCACCTACCTACCTACCTACCTACCTACCTATCCATCTATCTATCTATCCATCTACCCATCTATCCATCTACCCATCTATCCATCTATCTATCTATCCATCTATCTATCTCTCTACCTCTCCATCTATCTATCTATCTATCATCTATCCATCTATCTATCTATCCATCTATCCATCCATCTATCTATCTATCTACCTACCTATCTATCTATCTATCTATCATCTATCCATCTATCTATCTATCCATCTATCTATCCATCTATCTACCTATCTATCTATCCATCTATCCATCCATCTATCTATCTATCTATCTCTCATCTATCCATCTATCTATCTATCCATCTATCCATCTATCTATCTATCTATCATCTATCCATCTATCTATCTATCCATCTATCCATCCATCTATCTATCTATCTATCTATCCATCTTCTTAATGTCCAATACTGATACCGCAACATGGATGTCAATATCAATCCGATACCTTCTTTGCCCCACATGTATGCCGCGGGCTGTCTTTTTGCTAAGGCGATAGTCTCCCTATTTTTGTTACATCACGCAAAGTTAAGTTGAGTATTTTTTAAATTTTGTATTTGTTAGAATATTTATAACAGGAAGTGGCACCGAGATAATTCCCGCCATGAGTTGGCTAATAGCATATGCTAGACATAAGTATATATCAATTGCAACTGCATTTAAGAGGCACTTAGTGCCACAGTTTGTATTGATTATAACAGAATACATTACCAAACACCTTCTAAGCATGTCCTCTATTTTCTTGTTTGAATGTCTGTTTATTATGTGCAGAAGTGTCTTGTCTCTGCTTTTACATGCGTGTAAAAAACAAACGAAGCGCGAATATTCCTTGTTTGACAAGGACAATAATATTTACCTCAAAGGATTTACTACCGCGCATCTAATCGGTGTTGTCCTCCTGTTCTAATTTGTTTAAATAATTGTCAATCCTGTGTTTGTTTGGATTTCCGCTGACTTCTAAAGATCTGTCGGCCCTCATTACTGTCAACATTCTCTATTTGAACAGCCATGTGTGTGTTTGTGTGTGCGAGAGAGATAGATAGAGAGGAACTAAGACGGCAATCTATCTCCGACTTAATCTCAAAACGAACTAAGACGACAATCTATCTCCGACTTAATCTCAAAACAAGGCATAAAACACGAAAGGTTTTTATCGCTAACTGCATTTCATTTTTTGAACAATTTGTGACTCAGTGTCCAGAAATAAAAATGGACCAAGTGTTAGTTTCATTTTCTGTCGCGGTAAATGCCACATTGTCTGGAGGAGGACTGCAGCCCAAACTGAAAATAAATGAATTGTCCTGTAAGTGCTTCCTCTCGAGCTTCGTCTTCGGCTCTTACGTCAGGCTACTTCTCTTCTACAACATTTACCTTAACTACATTTTTCAGCAGACGAACAGGCAGTTGGCATTGATGCTAAGGTACATGGGGTTAAGTTTGCTCCGTGTACCATTTTCAAACGAAAATGTCGCGTTGCACTCTTCAACGATTAAAACATCAGCATAATGAAATACAAAGAGAAATACTTTGAATGAAAACAGCAGTGCATGTTAACTCTGTCGACTTACTAAATGTCCGTAACAAGCTCTAGGAAAACCTGGAAGGTAACAAATACTTAAAACTTCTGATACTCATAGAGCTTTAAGGGTCATCATTCTGATTGTCCGTAACACTGCAATCTCTACGATGGAATACAGCTGTTGGATAATACCATGAAATCACGGAGCTGCTGTTGATGTTAAATGTGGAAAATTGTCGAAATATATGCAAAAGTAGAACTCAAAAGTTTAGCTTCATTGAGTTGATGGATTTTTTTTTGTTACTGTACTTAATTGCGGCTTGTAAAGTAGGAGTCAGCGTGTCCGCTGCGGACTTCCTGTACATATTCTGATTACTTCCTGTTGATGATTGAATTTTAAGCTTGAGGTGTTTCAGTTAAACAGAAACTCCTGCAGCGAGTATGAGAGTAAGTTAATAGACAATTGAACTGAAAACACATAATGTTCTGACTATGTGTTGAAATATGTCACCATTATATATATATATAATATATATATATAATTATAATTATTTTACACTGAAATAATCTGTGTATATATATATATTTATATACACTATACATTCACATACTGTATATACAGTGTACATATATACATATATACAGTGTATCTATATGAATACATATAATTCTCTATTTTGGTATATAACATTTCAACATATTTATACATACTGCATTTTTGTTCATATATATCTGAACACATTTTTATACATATTTACGCAATTATCAATATATCTGTATATATAAATGTGCATTTGTGTATGTATATTGTTATATTTGTATCAACATTTTTCACGTTCGAGTGACTACGTGACATTGTTTTTTTACTCACAGCCTATGAGCATGACACAGATGGAGAAAATCTTCTCTGAGTTGGTGTTTGGGGAAACATTTCCAAAGCCCACGCTGGTCAGACTGCTGAAGGTGAAGTACAGAGCTGTGACATACTTGTCCTTAATGGAAGGTCCTGACCCTACAGATGTGAAGGAAATGTCAAAACGGGTCTACCGTTAGTCAGAAGTAACAACGACGACCACAGCCTGAAGTTAAGCTTCTGTAAACATTTGAATTTGGTAAAAATCCACTTCTAATGGATTCTACTCTATAAGAATATAGTTATATATTTAAAATAAATATGTCTAAAAAGGAAAGAGGTGTCAAACTCATTTTGGTTTAGGGGTCATATACAGTCTATTTTGATAAATAACAATAAATCCATGTTTTCCCCTTTGTTTTCATGCACATAAGTATAAGTATCATTCTTCTTTGGTCCATTTTTTCTACTTTCAAAATTCGTCAAGCGGGCCCGATTGAACCCTCTAACGGGCCGGGTTTGGCCCACGAGCCGCATGTTTGACACCCCGGTAGTAAGGGCTCTGCTAGTTTATGTGTTCCAATAATCCCCAGTAGATTAAGAACCCCTGGTAGGGCTCTATGGTGGACAAATACTTACGTCTCCACATCGACACTCTTAGTATTTGTGCTTGCATTCAGTCTTTTTAATACCTGGAATGGAGTCATTGAAGTGTTTTCCCAGTTGATCGCCCAGTGTGTGAAGCCAGCCAATAGAACCGTTCCTTTCCACACTTCCAATGGCATACCTGGGGAAAGTAACAGTTGAAATGTGAACAAGCTGAATAAAATGAAATTAAAATACTTAAATTACTATTAGTGATAGATGTATTAATATTAGCATTGCCTTAGATTAGCAGTGATGTCAAACAGTAACGTCGCTAAAGTTTTTGATGACGCCAGGGTTCTAAGACAACGTGTTCAATGTGTACAATCCTAACTTTACTCCCATATTCTTTTCCCGTTTTTTTATCACCGATACTGATATCAATTTCTTTTTACTCCAGTAAAAAACATGACAAATACTGACCATTTAACAACTTTAGAATGTATTTTTAATACAATGTTAGACGTAGCAAATTACATTATTTCATTTTTGCGCAACGTAACCTAAATAATTTAACTTCTACCATTAAGGAACAAATGATCAACTAATCGATCGAGTACCACTCATTTGAGTATCGATACCACGGAGTCCATACTTCTGTCAGTATTCATCAGACTGTGGCAGCGTACCAGATACAGGCCAGCCAGTGAGCGATCAGGGCGAAGGTGCACATGAGGAGGAAGAGGACGGCCGCACCATACTCCGAGTAGCGATCGAGCTTCCTGGCCACGCGGACCAATCGCAGAAGACGAGCAGTTTTCAGCAGGCCGATCAGAGTGGTGGTCTACGGAGATCGGAGGAGACAGAGGAAGGTGGGAATTAGATATTGAAAAGTTCCGAGTTACACATTCACATTCACAAGTTACGCAATCCGCTGGAAAAGCCGAGGCCTCGTGGGACTCTCTGCAGTAGAAAGGGTAATATCAGAGTCTGCTTCAATACATCAGCTGCCGTTTTATCTTATTTCATCCTTCTCTTTTTTTAAATTTAACCAGTTACACTTTTCCATTTCACTGGTTCTGTGCATTGAAAACATCCATTTTTTGGCTCAGAAAATGTCATCAAAAATGTATCCAGAATTACTGGCTAGTTTAGTGCGGTAAGGTAAATTAACCAATGTGAAATAATAATAATAATATTACAATAGTACATACAAATGTATAAACCTTAGCTTTTTTGGCTTTTCATTCTCATGATTCTTCATGAATCTGGCCCTTTTGACAAATATAATTGGTGATCTCTGATGTAAAATTTGGGTTTTTCCTGACACATGAAGCTTCATCTCAGGGCTCCAATGACCAAAATAAATTGTTAATAAAAATTGTTAATTCCAGTCACCCCTACAGGAGTCAAAATAAAAATTCATATTCAACGAAGAAACCCATCGCTCATTTGTTTTCGTTGTGTTCATTTCCATAAATTAGTCACTGATCGATAGGAACAGCGTTTCTTTAATTAAGATGTTGTTTTATGCTCATGGATGAAAACAACCATTGATAAATCAACAAACAGACCTTCGTGAGTGTGCATAACAAATCATAAGAATCCCAAGGTGGCAGACAGATGTTTAAGCACACGTGTCAAACTCAAGGCCCGTGGACCGAACGTGGCCCGCCAAGTCATTGACACCCCCGTGTTGAAGCAATAACAGCATTTGCTCGTCTTCCTCCACATCTTAACCTCCATCTCATTGCCTCTGCGTCTCCCCACTTCCTTCCCATTATCTCTAAAACCAAAAACACTCCCGGTTCTGTTGGTCCGTGAGTGCCTACCTCCTCTCCGTTTCGGTAGATGAGCAGATCAAAGGGAATAGCAGCGACCATGTCGATGAGGAACCAGCCTTTGAAGTAGTGGACGGCGATTCGCAGTGGGTGGCTCACCACTTCATCGTTGGTGTTCACATATGTCGTCCTGGGAGCGAAAGAAAGGTCAAGGGTTAGGGGCGCGAGACAATGTATCTCTAGAATTATTCTGAATAATTCCGACTGATCCCATGATAATTGTCTATGCCGACGTTTGCAATCTGTATTACGGTAATCTCCCTTATTTGGGACCGACTGTTGATTGGAGTCCTTGTTGTAAAATGAGTGCTAGCATTGTATTTGTTGTTGGTGTTTAGCAAAAAAACTTAATTTACAAATCCATGTTTTGCTCATACTACCAATAGTACCAATAATAATAATACAGTGATTCTCCCCTATCGCGATAGTTGCGTTCCACGACCTAACACAAAATTGGAAAAATCGCAAAGTAGAGGTGAGATAGTTATTATATTATGTACGAATGTATTTACCCTTTACGAACCTCCCCCAGAGTTATCGCAATATGGCAAAAATGTCATGAGATCAGAGTAAGGGGCCGTGAATATAGACCGCGATATAGAAAGGGACCGGTGTACATACAAATACTACCATTACAACGATGAAAGGTCTTGGGAATTTAATGTGTGGAAATCCATCCATCCAATTTCATTCGCTTATCCGTTACCAGGTCGCGGGGACAGTAGTCACCATGACAGCCACCCAAATCACACTGCGCCTTACAAGCCCCTTTGTGAACCTTCATAGAATGTTCTAGGATTTAATTTCAAGTGTATTTTTCAACTGAGAACAAAATGGCTGTAAATCCACCACTTGAAGGTGAGAGAGTGTGTCAGGGTTTGGTTTTCATGGCCAATATAGAAAATACAGTAAATGATTTTTACAAGAACGTAAGCTTCGAGACGTTTTGCTAAAGTTCCGAATTGATAACACAAGCAGAGCCAAAGCCTGTTATCGGAAGAACTCAACACCAACTGACCTGAAATTGATGAGGATGTCAATAATGAACATGATGTCCACTATGAGGTCCACTACGTTGAGGGGCGAGCAGGAGTAACCGCAGCTCTGCATAGCCGCCTCTTCCTACACAGAGAGGGGCAAAAGAAAGAGAGAGGAACATTTGTTTGCATTAACGACAGAAAAAGAAAAAACACACAAGGAAACGACAGAAAAATAGAACATTCATCTGACATACTGTCCTGACTCTATATCCATTTTAACTGTACTGAAGCCATAGTGTTTTCTGACCTGGTCCGTTCATTTGCCGATGATGAAGCGTTATTTTTTCAGGTTGTTATGCAGGAATTCCATTTGTGTCAATGTGTTAAAAAACATTAAAATTTAGTGTCATCAGTGCAGGTCAGTAACTGTGACACTCTTCATGTGACTAGACAAATTTGGAAAAGATGATATTGACAAATAATTTATTTTAAAATGTTTGGAATGTTGAGGATTATATTAAGGAATGTTGTATTATTGAGATTTATCATTGATATTTATCATGATTAACTATGATTAATATTGATCAACAGTCTATCAGTAACAACAACAACTGACCAACTTAGGATTAATTACGCTCATGATTAATCACGATGAATCTTCAGCTACCTTGCGATCATTTGCAGCCCTAATGTACAGCTCTTACATAAATCAGGATTGTAATTAATAACAAGCAAAAGCTTCATCGTTAGCTAATAATTTGCATGTCACCTGGTCATTGAGGAGGAAAGCAGCGGAGTACGGTGTGACAATGGCAGTGTAGATGACCAGCAGCAGTATTAGCCAGTCCCACACTGCCTTGAAGGGGCTGTAGTGCAGCACCGTCCACTTGTGGATGCGAGGAGCTTGGAGCTTGTACTCCGGCAACACGTCTGCGCCCAGAGACAGCACCTGCACAGAGGGAGGAGCAGAGGGACCGTCCCGGAGTGAACACCGCAGTACTAGTTCCACTTACTTCACCGCTTCC